CCTAAAACCCTATACCCTAAAACCCTTTCTAGTCGTTGAGGCCCCTATATCAGAAGCCGGTGCTTCAAGGGTGCATAAGTCCCTCCGCCAACACTCTGTACGACACGCATATACAAACATCCGATATGCGTATGCATCGTCACCCTTACTTAGCTCTTGACATGGGTAGTTCCTTAATTTAGTGTCCCTTTGTAGGTCTCCAGAATGATACGGCACCCTTACAAAAAGGATCCTAAAAATGACCCCGAAGCTAGAGAACTACCCACTTGGGTGCACCGTGGGTTCGGCAGTGACTTGCACATCCTGCCAGCTTTAACCTGGGACTGTTCAGCCTTGGATGGGGCGGCCTTAATCAGTCTCCATGGGTTTAGGGTTTAGGGGGTTTTGGGTTTAGGGCTTAGTGTCTCCATGGTCCTAGCAGGGCTCTTCGGCCGTAAGCGTGATTGAGTAATGGAATTCTGGGCTCCGAAGCGTGGCGCTAGGTGCTGCTACTTACTAAGTCTCTGTGTGGCACGTACTGCTGCCGCATCCTGTGTGCGCGCAAACGTTAGCCTCGAAAACCCAAAGCCTGGGCCCCCGGCCTGGCAGATCTTGGCCAGCAAGTTGCTGCTGCAGCTCCTCCTGCTGCTTCTCCTGCGGCTGCTGCGGCTGCTGCGGCTGCAGCTCCTGCGGCTGCTGCGGCTGCAGCATCCCGAAGGGTTGCATCGCCAAGGCTTGCTGCTGCATAAGCATAGGCATAGGCATAGGAAACATAGGATGCTGCTGCTGCAGCGACTGTACCTGCTGGGCTGTCGCGGCGAAGAGCGTGGCAAAGTCCTCAGCGAAGATTGCATGAGGTCGGAACCCGAAACCCTCTGCCAGCAGGGTTCAGATCCGCCTACTTCACCTCCACCTCGTGATCCCGGGGCCCACAAACACAAACACCCACCCAAAAAGAAGTAGCAACAGTCTAGGCAGTGTGATACGGTAACACATGGTTTCCTGTAGTGCCAAGAAACGCGGGACACCTTGACATTGCTTTCTCAAAAGGTACCCTCCAAGTGGAAAGCTGCAGAGAACCAAACAAGAAGCAAACAACCCTGTAAAACTAGAGAGCTTCAAAAACTCCTTCATGACGTCCCCATCAACCCTTCGCCCCTAAAACCCTAAACCACTAAACCCTATAACATCCACTATGCGACAAGTGAGCATCTGTCCGCTGCCGCTTGGCATCCTTCCCTTGAGGCCTGGCAGCTTGAGCTGATCTCTCCAGTGGTTTTCATCTCTCTCGGCAAAGGTTTGTATGCATCTACGTTTTAAGCTTGCTTTAAAATGTGCATATATATATATATATAGAGCCGACATTATATACAGACGATAGATAGGTACATTGTTGCATTAGGTTAGACCAGATTAGGTTAGATTGGATTAGAATAGGCTTGGTTGGGTCTTAAATTAGCTTTGGTTAGGTCGGGTTAAGTTAGGTTAGGTTGGGTCAGACCACGTCACATGAGACGAGACTGACGACAAGTCGATTAAGAGCTTGACCGATCGCTGCAGATACGTACGGTCGATAGACAGACACATGCTTTGGGGTTTCTTGGGTCGAAGGCTTAAGTTGCCAGGTAGTATTCATGCCAAGGTTCAGGGAGTTTGTGCCAGAAAAAGTTTTGGGTCTGGCAAACTCACAATCCCCGGGCCCTAGGGATATAGGATGGTAACGAATTAGCGAGAGCTGGGTTCAACCTTTTCCAAACCCTGAGACTTGTTTCGAACATCGCAACCCTAAACCCTAAACCCTAAACCCTAAACCTAAACCCTAAACCCTAAACCCTAAACCTAAACCCTAAACCTAAACCCTAAACCCTAAACCGGCACATGGCAGGCAAGGCTTCACGGCAACTGGTCCAACTACCACGTGAAAAGCAACAGGACATGGCTAGGCCCAACAGTTCCAAATAAATTCTTGAAACCGTGAACCGTTTTGGGGGGAGAGACTTTAAGTGGTCCTTACCCTAAACCCCAAATCAGAACCCCAAGATAGCCCTAGACCAAGCAAGGTGCACCCATAACCCAGCCATGTCCGTCTAGGGTTTTGGGTGTAGGGTAACCCAACCATCTCCAGAAGATCATGCTCATTGGCACACCCAGCCAGCGACAAAGACTACCCTCCTACTCTACAGACTAAGGCCTCAAAGAGCGGAGGAAGGAGCCCGTACCAAATTCAAAAAACCAGTGCCAAGGGTTCTGGTTTACGGCTTTCTGACCTTCGCATGCGGATGCCCTGATTCTGGGGTTTCGGGCTGGGTTTTGGCGGTTTCGGCGTCGTTCACAAGAGGGCTACCAGGCCTAGAGCCTCGCTGAGGAGGCTCTCACGGTGTAGAGTTTAGGGTTATCCTGAATTCGTCCTCTTAACTCAAGATCCCTGCACATAAATGCGGGGGTCTTAATGAGTAGAATTGGGTTTGGGGGGATAGTATCGTATAGTTATAACAAGGAACCCCCAAAGTAATATAGGTAATTCTTGAGGCCCCGATAATATGGCTTCGCAGCCTTAATCTCCCAAACCCGGACCTGAGGTGTACTTGGGCCCAGGCGAAGCATCGGGGAGCTTGATCTCAGGAAGCGGAGACCCTAAACCCTAAACCCTAAACCCTAAACCCTAAACCCTAAACCCTAAACCCTAAACCCCGGTAAGGCTTCCGGGTGGAGAACTTGGGGGCCTTGTAGGGCTGAAAGGCTTCGAAACTCTCGGAAGGAGTGGGTGGTCCGGGGGTTCGGAGGGTTGAAAAGGGGGTCTAAGGTTGAACCCATGGGCCCCTAACATGGGCCCTTAGGGGATTCCAGGGTCCCTTAAGGGTATATATAGGGTATATAGTAGGTATATTAGGGTCCCAGGGTCAAGGGCCCATACTGGGGGCCCATGGGTTCTACCTTAGAGGGGGGGGGGTGGGGGGTTGGGTTTAGGGTTTATGCTTGGATCTTGGGCTAGTACGTTGAAATACGACAGACGGATTCAAGGCGTAGCTTCAGCACTTGAAACGATTGTGGAGGTGGTGTTTGATATGGGCAGAACAAAAGCTGAAAATGCGACCACCCTTTTCCGCCACCCGAAGCAGCTCGCTTTCCCCGAAACTTCCATCGAGGGCCAGCTTCAATACCCCGCAACCGACCTGCCTCAACCGCAAACGGACCATTACTTCATCCTAAACGTACTTAACCCCTCTTGGCAGATCAACTAGATACTCTAAGTATCACCTATTGCACATGTGAACTCCTGCCTGGGCCCTGACACCGCTTGTAGCAAACCCAGAACATGTGACAGCAAAAACTGCTAATGGAGGAACCTGATCAAGAAACCTTGGGTCTTGACTCGGGCTCTGTATCTGAAGGGTTTAGGGTTTAGGGTTTAGGGTTTAGGGTTTAGGGTTTAGGGTTTAGGGTTTAGGGCTGAATCCCAAGGGTTATAGGGCCAGGATTTATTAATCAGCTATCTGCAAACATAAAAAGGAACTGCAAACTACAACCTGCAAAACCAAATTCACCTGTTCCTGAGTGTACAAAAGGATGAGTCGTTATCAAAGAAGCTCAGGGTGCTGGGATTCGAACATCCTGGAGGCCCTTGTGTACGACTTTGCCTTTCCCGCCCTTGCCGTCTTTGCCGCCCTTGCCGTCTTTGCCACCCTTGCCGTCTTTGCCGCCTTTCCCGGCTTTGCCTCCTTTGCTGCCGCCCTTGGGTGACTTTGCCTGGGCATGCAATGGGTCCAGGTTTGGGGCTTACATAATGAGACGAAGAGGGGGTGGAGCATGATAAACTACGTAACATATGGGACTGTAAAAGGTCATATAGGTTTGAACTGCGAGGTTCACCCAGAAGACTTTCAATCAGCCATGCCCCTTCATAGTTCTGATATAACTATACGGCAACACATGCCTAAACCGTTACTCTAGTTTGACAAGCAATCGGGGTCTAATGTCTAGCATCCCGAAAGCTGTCAAGCGAGTCCCCCGATCAGCCTGAGAAGCCAGAAGCCCCTGAAATCCTTCTCAGGTCAACCTAAAGCATGGTATGAGGCCCCTAAACCCCTAAACCCTAAACCCTAAACCCGTAAACCCTAAACCCTTAAACCCTAAACCATAAAACACATCGGGGCTTCGGGTTGCTTCGTAAGCTTCGAAATTGTGCCGCCTGTTCTCTGTACTACAGCATAGATACCCCAGAAGAACCTCGAACGAAGACCAGCCGAGAATGCAGTAAGGCTTCTCAGTCTCAGGTAGTAGCATCACGGTCTAGGGTTTTAGGGTTTAGGGTCTAGGGTTTCTGCACCCCAACCCCCAGACGGGAGTCAAAACTCCCGAGTTAAAATGTAGGGCTTCTCCTCCGAGCTACAGCGGACTCCTGCAAACCTGAAGGAAATGTTTAGGGTGCATGCTCTCACAACTCGGAAGTGCTTAGGGTTCAGGATTTGGGGTTTAGGGGTCTCGTTTAGTGCAACACTATCTCATCCAACCGGTCAAGTCCGCTGACAAAAACTCCTGGAAGCTTAGCACAGGGGGCCAGAGTAAATTGGGTTTTTGTAGTCCCCGAATGCGTCTCCTTCAATGTAGGGCAAAAGCCCTTTCTAATTGCCCTTGGCCCGGCTTCCTGATAGACTGGCAAAATACAACCTGAACAGCCTCGAGGTCGGCGTTGGCCCCGGCAAGGGCGTCCTCCTCCAACTTGGGCCTGTAAACGCGACTCGGGTCTCTGGAGCTCCTTAAAAGTCTGGTTTTTTATCTATATCGCGACGACTACAGGAGGGTATTGACTACTTGGAGGATCATGGGACTTAGTAACTAAGGTTATAAATAAGGTAGCTAGAATTATAACCCCAATTAAGGTACTTATAACCATAACCATACTTACTAAGTCCCATGATCCTCCATGTATACTGGTATTTCAGACCTGATGACTAGGTCCCCTCGGTCCCCCGTTGAGGGTGTTCGAGGGCTGAATTAGCCTGCACAGGCTGGAAGTTCGCTCCAGAGGGCTTAGGACTTCGCGAGTTCTGGAGGATCCACAGGATCCACTGCTTTAGGGTAAGGGAAACTACAGGGGGGAGGGGAGTTTGGGTATATAGGGCTTCTATAAGGCTTCTATAAGGTATATAGACCTTCTACAAGGCTCCTGTAACGGTAACTACCCACCTGAAAATGCCCTAGACTTTAGGG